GCCAAGCAAAGCCGCAGCGCTGCTCGCAGCCGCTTCCCTCCACGTCCTTTCCTAGGAACCCAGTCCGAAGCATTTCCTCACGCTCACGACAATTGGGGTTTTTTTAAGAAAAATCGTCCGGGTTTTGTTTCCTGAATTCGAAAAACCCCTTCACAAAACCAGCCCCGGCCGACAGAACCGGTTACAACAGCCCTTCCCCTCGCCGCAGTCGGGCCCGTAACGCCGCGGCCCGCGGCTGCCGCGCCCCGGGGATCCCCAGAGGCCTCGCTCACCCAGGTCCTTGTCGTTGATGCCCAGGTGGTTGTCCAGCTCCGTGCAGACCTTGGAGACCAGCGACAAGTACTCGAGCTTCGCTAGCTCCTCCAGAGCCACCAGGTCCGCCATGATTCCGCCTCCCCCTCACGCATGCGCACACACCCCCCTTCCGCAACCGGGACGCGCCGGAAATGACGAACATGCCACTGCGCACGGGGCCCGCTAGCGCTGATCATAGAGAGGGCGGAAGGTACTAGAGCGCCTCGCGCCTGGGGCCGGTCTATGACCCCAGCTCGGTGATTTGTGGCGGACAAGGAGACAGACGCATGGCCGCCACACCCGGTGGCACAGGGGCCTTTATTTGCGAACAGACGGTAACAGCAGTACGGAAGGGCAGCTGGAAGCCCAACAGCGGAATCAACAATATGGCCCGTACAAAAAGCGCTGTACGGATGTGACGAGCAGGGAGGATTTCAGAACAGGACACGGAGCTGTGCTTCATCCCTGGCTCGTTGCCATTTCGCTGTGACCTCGGCCGATGGCACAGTGAGGAGCAACACTCCCCCCCAGCTCTGTAAGAGGCACCGGCTTAGGAAGCATATTTTGAAGACGGGATCAGAGACTTTCTTCAGCTTCAACAGCCTTCAACTCAGTCCTGACGCTTTGGTTCTATCCTTCAGGGGGATGGATACAGGAAAACGCTGAACTGCTGAGGAAAAATTTCAGTCCAGCAACTCCCAGGCTCCTGTTTTACCATCCAGAATGCATCAGGCAGCACCTAAACCAGAGCCTAAGGAATAACATTGAGCCCCTCCATCATTTGGGAGAGGCAGCTGCCAGCTCTGGGAGGAGAGAAGGCTGCCAGGGCTGGTCCTCCTGTAAAGTCTGTTTGGTAGTTTTACAGCTTTAAAAAAAACCAAACAAACAAACAACTCAAAACACCCCACCCCCAAAAAAACCCCAGCTCTTCCCTGGTATTTGTTAAACCTAAGCTTTTCCAGTCAGAGATGAACTTTCACAGTTGTTTGGTTGAAGGCATTAAACGCCAAAGCGTACAAGAAACAGCATGCGCTGACCACCACACACCGCTGGCTGGAGAGCAGCAATCTTCTTGGTTCATGATACAAAATGCATTTTCTTCTCGCTGAAATGGATGCCGTTAAGGAAGAGCCAGTGGATGAGCTTGTTTTAAAAACACATCTATACAAAACCACATATTCTCACCTGCTCTACCCAACAGCTTAAAACAGCAGTCAGCCAAGAGTCACTTGCACAAGGGGTTTTGGCACGACACACGGTAGTTTTTCTCAGAGATTTAGACAGATCAGTCCTGTTCCTTGCTCTTGTTGTGCAGGTTGGGCAAGTGCCATTAGATTCTGGTGATGTAGATACAATCCAGCAAAAAAAAAGTTGTCTCATCACAGTCCTTCTTTTTCAATTTATGGAATAGTTACATTCAAGACAGAAGTGCAAAATTATGCAAGGAGAAAACAACTAGAGTTAGTCTGACTAATAGGGCACTGCCTCCAAAGCAGCAGTGAAACACTCTGACCATGCACTGGTCACTCTGCTGAAGCGTCAGCCATGATAAGGCACTGAAAAAAGAAAGCTGCAACCCAGGGCAGCGGAGTCCGCGTTCATAAGGCCAAGTACGTTAATCATCTTTGCATGAGATATTGAAGTCTTATCCAGGAAACACCAAGCCTCCTGTTTAAGGCACAGATTGAGAAGCAGCCCCGGAAGTTTGTCTCTCTGTGAGTTGCATTTGTGGTGGAATACACTACACCCAAAAGCTCTGCCAACCTGGCCCTGTCACGGTGGGCGGTGGTACAATGGCTGAGGCAGCGTGGCATTCCCCCGGCAGTCCACATACTGGTAGTCTTCAAAAGCCAGCTGCTCCGAATGACAGAGATATGTGCAGGTCAGGGTACCCCTGCAAGACAAAAGCAGATCAGAACTGTGCTTGTGATTGTCCCAGATGAGACTTTCATAACGTAAAGGTCCCGTGGTGAGCTCCCACTGCCATCCTGTTTTGTCCCTATTACACAGCCCCAGAACACAACAGCCAAGACACCCACTTTCACATGTTGGAGATGTGCAGGGCGATCCTTCTAGTGGACAGGGGGCTACACAAGGAGACAATTTCTGCTGCAGAGTTTTCCAAAGCAGCTTAGACTCAGCTAATGAAGACCACTCTTCTTTGAAGGCTGCACAGAGGCATTCTAGTGCTGCTATACCTCGTAAGAGCTTCCCTGTCTCACGCAGTGGGTTCAGCTCTAACTCAGCCCAGAACAGTAGCAGCCTGTCCCTGCAGGATCCGTGTTATAAACTGCAGTTGTGCTCCTTCCTCCCTGGCAGGGAGGAACAGCCAGCCTACACTTGCTTTCCCAGCAGGGCCTGTCATACTCTAAGACACAGCTATGCTGAGCATGGTCATCTGGTCCATCCCCTGAACTGGAGCTGCCTCAGGGAACAGAATCTGCAGAAGAGCCTGTTTTGTCCTGCCTTGCTCTTGGCAGCTGCTGTCAGAACACCCGGAGGCAATCCCCACAGAGGCCCAGCTGAATGAGTCTGCCCCAACACCGCGAGGCAGGCAGGCATCATTGAACCAGTCAGTACTTCTAGCTCTGGATCAAAGAATTACTTCCCAACAGCTACAATCAGTATTCCAGAAGGAAGTTTGCCAGGCCAGCTTGCCTTAAGCAACAGTGACAGCCTGAGCTGTCAGTAAGCCTGAATCCAGGGGACTTCTCAGGGCAGCAAGGGCTTTGGAGAATTATCTCCTCATCACACCGCAGCATGCTTGTCTGGGTAACAGCACATTCACACTGCAGGCAGTCCTGGTCTTGAAGAACAGTGACTGCAGACCTTCTTGAAGGGAGCTGAGAAACAACATAGGTGACACAGGTGTTCGTAATAGCTCTGAACCAGGCATCACTTACTGTATGTGCAGCAGAACATTGTGAACTTTGACTTCTGTCCAGGTGCAGATGTTACTACAAGAGAAGGAAGAGAGTTAATTTCACAGGAGCTGCCTGCACCATGTGTCTCCTGTCCTCAATCATGCCATTGCTTCTTTGCTTCTCCAAAAAGGTCTGTCTGCAATATTCTGACAACTATGTAGGCAAAGTTCTTCAAGCACAGCAGCACCTACACCAGTAAAACACATTTTTGCTGGCATAACTCTGTAACTGTGGATCTAGTAAGTGTGGGCCTCATAAACATGCAATGCACTGCCCTGTCTGCACAGAAGCTTTGGTTGCTATGAACTTCACATGGTTTGCTGGTCATTTGCAGGGAAATGCGATTGTACAAGGTACCCTTAGCTACTCACAAATGAAGCATTTACAGCTGACAGCCTAGACATCAAATTGGTATGATCACTTACTCATCAGAATGTATGGAAAATGACATCGCTGAGCCAACACTAAGCAGAAAATACTGATAAATAGAAAAGGAAATGAGTTTTAAAATGGATGTGCCAGACTTGTATCCAGATCAGCTCCACGCATTAAACTGAAAAGGACACACTCACTCAGCTTCACTCTACAGACAGGACGGGCACAAGAAATGTAGTCATGAAAAGCCTATAAGCAGTAGCGTTACTCACTAACCAAGGGAAGAAATCTTCAAGAACTACTCACTAGGTGTTGTCGTCCAATATCCTACTGGGCACCATATAATAGATCTGCAAATGTGAACCGAAGAGAAAGCAGGAAGTACACAAGAACTACAGTTACGTTTGTATATAATTCAGAGAGCCAAAGTAGGGAGAATTGGATTCTCATTAGGTGTCTGAACCAGAATTTCAAGCCCAACAATTATTTTTAACAGTAGGTAAGAAAATAGAATCAGAAATTAGATCTAAAGAGGCCTAAAAAAGGTCGTCTAGACCACACATCTGACCTTTACACCAAGAATGGATCAGCTGTGCTCAAGCTGTTCCCACCAGGGTTTTGTCTAACCTGGTTTTAAGCTTGCCATCATTTTAAGGCAAGCACACAACCCAGCCCACTACCCAAAGAGCGGACAGATTTTCCTTGCCCAGGAACATATGAGCTTCAAACTCAGAAACATGTAAATCCTTACAACACCCCTTCCCAAAGTGGGATGTGGGAAGCTGCATATGGAAGAACTTTGAGTATTTGGCAGACAGATGACAAAGGAGTGGATCAAGTATGCAGTAAGCATCTCCCTGTCCAGGACATCCAGCTTAGATTAGGAAAAAATGCAAGAAAAACAGAAGAGCTCACCTGGCTGCTCTGCAAAGGGCTCATATGCAGCAGGGTGTTCATGGTGGACTTCCCTACTACCAGGGACTGGTGCAAAACCTCTATGTCTAGCTGCACAACAGTGACCAGGTAGAAGTTGTTATTCGTTACGTTCAGCACATTCTAGGGAGAGAAAGAAACCAAAAACCCAAAACACACATCACCTTGCAGCAGGGTCATATATACTACTGTTGCAAAGCTACTTTAAATGTACTCCTGCTATGACCTTACAGCAACACTTGGACCACATCATCCCTTTCAAATCCTCAGATTTGAAAATCCAGCAATTTTTTTGATCCAGCCTGGCCACAAAGGCACATACGCTGCAGTGTCTCCCATGACAGTCAAAGGAGGACAACCAAGCAGCTCAAAGATCCAAAAGAAAAAGGTTTCCCAGAATTAATCACAGTGCTGCTTCTAGACAGCCCCTTGGACCACTTTCTGCAACTTGCTCACTCGCAGCCAGGCCAGCCACACCTCTGATGCTGTAACACACTCTGGACATTGATTCCAAGCAGCCAGAGTGGACTGAGATGGTGGGAACGGTATGGCCAAATTCAGCCAGCCATCAGTTAGTTAGCCTACGTGTGGAGCAGCACAGGAGATAAGCAAGGAACCCTTCAGACCCTCTCTCTGACTGAGCTGAGCACTTACCGTCATGTTGAGGTATATACTGGTGGTGCTGGCATTAAAGGCAATGGAGGAGGCATTCAGTCCTGCAGGCAGGACGGTAATGGAGCGAGGAAACAGGAAGAAAATACTGAGAGATGTTGTCACCAGGCAGATGGTCACAGCAAGACATACATAGAGTTTCCTGCAAAACAGCACCAGGGCCACAATCATTCTCTCGGTTGGTCAGCTGCAAGCACCGGCAGTTTTCCTCCAGCTCAAAGGGAGGAGACAATAAAAGCTTGGATGCCAGAAAACGGGGATGGCTTTGTGCAGGACTATTTGCCAGCTACCAAATCACAGCAGAAGCAGGGCAGAGTCCCACACACTGACATGGTGCATTACAGTACAAATTGCTGGAGATCCCCAACAACTCCACGCAGAAAACTGTCCCTCATCTCCTATTACTGCAAAGACACAGTAAACACCAAACTTACTGCAAGTCTAAGCACAAAGAGCAAAACACCCAAAGTACCAAGGCTTTCCTTCACATGCAGAAAGGGAAAATTTAACAGGACTTACGTTCGTCTTGGCTTCAGCCTCTGGTCACCATATGGAATCAGAGCCACCAGCTGCTTCTCTTGCTCTGAAAGAGGTGGCAGCAGATCAGAGACCACACTAAGCATGCAAGTAAATAAAGCAAATTGCATTGCAGGGCATTGCACAGCAGCCTAGCGCCCATCTGCACAGCAGCCTGGTGTCCCATCTGCACTCCCTTCACAGGTGATGCTCTCCAATTAAAGACAAGCGTGATGTAACTAAGATTTCAGTTTGAGCATTCCCATCTCTGGGCAGAAGACTCCCCAGGGGCTCCAGGCTGGGCTTTGAGTAATCACCTACAAACAGCACTACCCACCTTCCCACCCCATCCTCCCCCAACAGAGACAGCCCACAGAGGTCTGTGAGTAGTCAGGTGGAGGTATCAAGACAGGACATTCCTAGACTGGATACCATAAAGACCAACTGGTTCAACTAAGGTCTTTAGGCGAAGAGACATGTACCAACCCCAGAAGGTTCAAAAAGCACCCACGCAGCACACAGAAGAACCACCTACCCCCGGGGATCCTTCCTGTTCCCTGACATGTCGGACAAGTGACGCAGCCTCGACGTGCAATGCCCACACAGGGTGCCGCAGAGTCATTGATAGAAGCATAATTGGTAATTTCATCTTCAGCATCCAGTTGCCTGGGTAAAATCTGTTTGCTTTCATTCTCCTTTTGGTCGGGTGTTTTCCAGAACGGTGAAAATTTTCCACCCATGCTTGAAAGAATTCTCACTAGGTGTCCAACACAAAAACACATCAATTGTCTCTGTGAACCAACCTCCAAGAGGAGCACCATTAGCATTTGTAGTAGACCACAAGTACCCTAAAATTTAGCAAGTTTCTTAAAGCACAGCTCTAAAGGTGCTTTAAAAGCTGAGTTACTGCAAGAAGATTAACTCTGTCCCAGCCAAAACCAGGACGCTCGCTCTTTTAAACATTCAATCTTCCAGTCAGCCTCGTTGCAGGAAGTGTCTGAGAATGCCACCCTACAGAACAGCATTCCAGATTCTTCTTTGTCTCATGGTGTTTGGTAAGAAAGAGGAACACTGACTGAAATCTCCTGAAGGTTTCAAGATGACAACATAGCCCGGAAGAACGGCCAAGTTCTCGACTGGTCATTATTCACCTACATCCAACAGGGTACTCACCTGAACATCAAGGCCTTGGCATTTGAAATCAAGCACAGTGTTACGAACAGTAACAGCAGCCTGACTAAAATCAAATAGCACGCAAACAGAATCTAAAAATAGATAATAGAATCTAAAGATAATCTATTTTCAAAAGTTAAAAATACAGTTGAACTCATTTTCTGACAATAAAAACCTTTTACATCAGCTCCTAGTAACCCTCCCAAAAGCATTAACAATACCGAGCTGAGGAAAAGCAGCTGCATTTTCATTACAAAGACATCAGCTGAATGCAGTTTCCTACCTGTGCCAGTCTTTCCTCCAGGCAGCCTCTTTTCAGCCACTCAGCTGTACGTAGGATGTTTAACTTTGATAAACAGCAGCGTCTACACTTGCCCAGACAATCTGGAGGCTTTGCATGAATAACCCCTCGGGGCTCTGTGATAAAACACACTGGGGATGAAAATCGGTCTGGCAGTAGAGAACCACTACGGCAGCGTTGCAGAGCATTGGGCTCATTCCACAGCCCACAAACCCAGGCCACAATGGCAAGGCATGGGCTGATTCCAGGGACAGCTTCTGTTTTTTCCTTGCCGGCAAAAGAAGAACCAGGATCTCATTTAACTAGCAGAGGCGGCTGCGGCACTGCCCATCCAGCCCAGTCCCCCAGACTACACAATTCTGCAAGGCACTGCTTGGAAGCTCAAGGTAATCCAGTGTTCCCCATGCTCCTGCAGCACGCAGAGGGCAATGGAAAGGAAGGACAGAGATGCCTGGAGGATCATAGAATCATAGAATGTTTAGGGTTGGAAGGGACCACTAGTGGTCATCTAGTCCAACCCCCCTGCAGTGAGCAGGGACACTGCTAACTAGATCAGATTGCTCAGAGCCCAGGATCTGGGCTTCTCTAACACGGAAAGGGCCTCGTTGTGTTGTACCACAAGTCCCCATCTCTGCACTCTCCTGGGGGCCCCAGGCAGCGAAGCCGCAGCTTTATCCTCACCCCCAGTTAATATTTACTAGCTTTTCAGAAACCAGCCGCAAGGAAGAAGAGCGGCAGACCTTTTCACAGAACTGGGGCAAAGCAGGAAAGCTGGAAAAGTCAGGAGTGGGCATCAGGGAGACCAAGGGAAAGGCGCAGCGGGGTGAAGTTTAACCCCTTCACGCACTGCCCCATCTCTCAGGTCTCCCCACCACCCCCCGCCGCATGCCCCAG